GAGTCCTTGACCTTGGGGACATCATAAGCCCAGGCTGATGGACACCAGCAGTGGCCCTGGGGGATGAACAGGGTGCGAGCGAGGGTCTCACCGCGGCATTGCGGCTCTGCAGCAGGGGCTTGGTGTTGCGCAGGAGCAGGCGGTGGTCAGGGTCCATGACGTAGGGTTTGCGCTTGGCCAACGAGGCTGCCTCTGCTTTGGCATCCTTGGCGTCCTCCTCCTCAGAGCCATAGAAAGCCTTCTCAGTGTTCTCCTCCAGCAGGGACTCCTGCTGGCAGGTGGGACCCTTTGCATCCCCAAGAACACTCCCCCTTCACCCCACCTCCCTAGGAGCTCCCAGGACACCCCAAGGCTCCCAGGGCATCCTGTGCTCCTGAACTCACGTTCTGGTTGGGGCTGAGGAACTGGGTGCGGGCGTAGCGGGTCAGCATGTTGATGATGACCACCTGCCCCCACTCCTCCACATCGATGAGCAGGTTGCAGAGCTTGCGGTAGTTCTTGTGGATGAGGTCTATGCGCTCTGGGCATACCTCCTCAAATGCCATCACCACGCTGCCAGCCACCAGCTGCAGAGGGAAAGCCCAGGGTGACTTACTGGAGTGGTGGCTTCATCAACAAGATGCTGGTCTGGTGGAGATAGTGGCATCTCCATGAAGGTGCTGGTTTGGTGGGCAACCCCTTTTAGGAATGCCAGCTCAGTGGAGTCGATGAATTCCCTATGAGGATATTGGCCCAGTAGGGACAGCAGCATTCCCACGAGGATGCCAGCTCTCCAGTGATGGCTCCATCCCCACAAGGACACAAATTTGGTGGGAACATCTGCATTCCTGTGAGGATGCTGGATGGGTGGGGACAGTGGCATCCCCATGAGGATTCTGTCTTGCTAGGGACAGTGACATCCCCACAGAGATGTTGGCTTGGGAGATGGCTGCATCCCTTCATGGATATTGGATCAGTGAGACAACTGACAGCCCTGTGGGGATGGCTGCATCCCCAAGACAACACAAATTTGGTGGGAACATCTCCATTCCCATGGGGACACCAGGCCAGTGATGTTCCCAGATTTGGAGGTGGGGGAGACACAGGACCCTGCTCACCGTGGTCTTGTCCGCCAGCAGCTTCTCAATAACTTCAATGAGCTGGTCCTTCTGGTCTGAGTCGAGGCTGTGAGGGAGGAGCAGGGCAGGTGATGCTGGACTAAACTCCTCCCCATCCCTGCCTGTACCAAGTAGCCAAGACCCATATTGGTATACCCGAAATTTAGCAGCTGATCCCCCCCCATTACCTGTACAGCTTGGGGATGGCATGGGCGGCTGTCTTGCGCACGTACGGGGACATGTCTGAGGCAGCCTCCTTGATCGCCAACATCATGATGGGCACGATTATGGGCACACGGATGCTGGACAGGACCCGCAGGGCACTGGCGCGGATCAGCTGGTTGGGGTCCTGTGAGGACACGTGGGGGGCTGCAGTGCTGCTGTGGGAGGCTCAGTGCTCCTCCAGACCTTCCCTGGGTCCTCAAACCAGCCCACCTTGAGTCCTCGCTGGAAGGTGGAGATGGAAAGCAGGGCCAGATCCTGCTGCTCCTCTGCATAGCGCACCAGGTACACGTACACTAGCTTCTTCACCTGCAGAGTGAAGGTGCCACCTCAGAGCCCCCCAAACTCCAGCCAATCCCCAAAAACAGGGAAAGTGACAGACCCCGAGATGGTACCAGGGCCACCCGAGATCTTCCTCACCTCAATGTTCTTGCAGGCAACATTTTTCACCACAGCTGGGAAGAGATCGGAGGCATTTTTACCACGGGCAATCATCTAGGGGCAAAAGAGGTGGTGTGACAGTGGGCAGCTGGCACAACATGACACAGCTCAGCACGAGTGGTGGTCCCCACCAGTGACAATACCCACCGCCACAATCCTCTTCATGGCCTCCAGCTTGAGTGAGTCCTTGTTGCTGTCAAGCATCTCCTTGAGGTCATCATGCCTGAAACACAGCAGGGGAAAAAAATTCCCATTTTCACAGTTTTACCTGCTTTTAGTCTTTTTTTTTTTTTTTTTCTGTTCCCAGCCTGCCATCAGGCCGGCAATCCAACCCTTCATTGTGAAATATTTATGGGGACAGGAGTTGGGTTACAGCCAGGTGAAAAAGGAACCGGAGGGACTGGCATGGTGCTAGCACCCAGTGCCATCCTCATCCCAGGCACTGGGACAAGAACCCCATCCCATCCTGGCTGTGGTTGTCACCCTGCATTGTCCCTAAACCACAGGAGCCCATCACCAGCTCCATCCTGGCTTGGCTGGGTGTCCCTTGTCCCCTCATGGACACAGTGGCATGGATGTGCCAGCATACCTTGATGCAAAGCCCTTCCCTGGTCCCCTCCCTGGACTGGGAAAATGCCAACAGTCTTTTCTAAAGTTGTCACCACTGTCCTCTTTTCTAAGGGACACTGGTGTTCCCCCCCTAAACTGGGGGTACCTGCAAGGCTGCGTCTACCTGCAGCAACTGAGGGTGACACCTGTGGGATGATGCTCATCCAGAGCCACCATCACCAGAGGGTCCTGGGGGTGCTCCTTGGGGGAGTCTTACCGCGGCGGTGGCCCGGTGCCAGTGTCCACTGCGGGCTTGGTGCCGGCGAGTGGCCGCAGCTCATCAGCTCGCAGGGCGCTGTAGCAGGTGGGTTGTCCAGCCTCGGTGGCCAGCACTGGGCTTGTCACCTCCTCGGCCACATCACCACCCTCTGGTGTTTTCGGCCAGCCAGCCGGCCCCACCGGTAGCTGCCGCAGCAGCTTCTGCACTGGCGGCAAGGACATCATAGCTTGAGTGGCGGTAGTGGCCCTGGGATGGTGACAGGGCTGTGGCCCCGCTCCTCTGCCCAGCACAGTGGGCTGAAACCTGATGCCGTGGTTGGGGTTGGGTTGCAGCCTAGATCAGGACTGCTGCCATTCCCAGTGGATGAGGTGAACTTGGGATGTCAAGTCCAAAGTGACATCTGACCTGCAGTTGGGACTTGGGAACACTGCAGGGAGCTCCTTCCCCAGAGCCGAGTGGCTCAGTCCTGGGCAGGGAACGCATATCGTGATGGGACACCCTACCTGGGTAGTAGGGTGGCACGATAAGGCACCCGTGGGTGTCCAACCTCGGTGGTGGGCTCACACTTGGTGCATTTGTCTTGCCCCATGTGTCATGGATGCTATGGATGGCTCACAAGAGTGGTGACAGACCTGGTGTGGCTCTGGCAAAGGGCAGCAGGCTGATGATAGTGACACTGATGGGTGTGTGGGACACTCTGGGTCAGGGGACACTGCCATGAGGGCGGTGGCACTGCCGGAGTGGGAGGCACTGATGGCAGATCACTGAGGTAAGCTGGACAGACGGGGGACACAGCCAGGGTGTCAGGGCTGAGGGATGCTGCCAGAGTGGGGGATACTTCCAGTGGGGGTCAGGGGACACTGGCAGGCATGGGAGCAGGGGAGCACTTCCAGGCTGGGAGACATTGCCAAGGAGGGGTCAGAGAGTGGGAGACTTGGGCAAACTGGGGGACACTGCCAGGGGCTCATGGCAGGGACACACACTCTGACACGGGGACACTGCCAGTGGGTCATGGATAGAGGGCACTGCCAAGCTGGAGGACACTGCCAGCGGATCAGGGCTGGGGGAAGTTGTCACACTGGGGGACACAGCCAGGGGTGGGGAGTGTTACACTGCCAGGCAGGGGCAAGGGATGCTAGCAAGGGGTCAGGAATGGGGGGGACACTGTGAGATGAGGATACTGCTTAACAGGTCGTGGATGGAGGGCACATCCAGAGTGGGGGGACAGTGCCAGGGGCTCAGGACTGGGTGGACACTGTCATATTGGGGTATCAGAGAGAAGAGGACACTGCCAGGGGTCCAGGGAAGGGGGGACCCGGTGAGATGGGGACACTGCAGCATGTCACAGATCAGGGACACATCCAGAATGGGGGACACTCCACAGCATTAGGGAGGAGGAGTACAGGCAGAGGGGAGACTCCCAAACTGGGGACACTGCCAAGAGGTCAGGATGGATACACATTCAAAGTGGGGGACACTGCCAGGGAATCGGGACCAGAGGGACACTGTCATATGTGGGGATACTACCACAGAAGCAGGGATGGAGGGACACTGCTGGACTGGGGGACACAGCCAGGGGTAGAGAGCGTGATGCTGTCAGGCAGTGATTCAGTGATTTCCTGCTGGGGCAGCAGGGAGGGAGGGACACTGCCAGAATGGGGAACACAGACACGGCAGGGAGAGAGGGCCAAGAGACATTCCTGCAGCTCCAGGAGCACACTCCCCCATTCCTCTTCACCCCTGCCCCCCCGCAGGAGCCTGTCCCAAGCAGGGGTGACATTTCTCAGCACCCACCCCCCCCACGCTGGGGACCTCGATGCGGTGTGGCCGGGGGTGTCGGCTCAGGAGAGTTCCCGGCGGATCCCGTGGTGGGAACACGCTGTCCGGGATGCCCCAGCCCGAGGGTGGGAGGTTCGAGGGGGATCCCGGCACATCTCCCCCAACCGCACCATCTCCAAAATCCCGCGGTGTTCTCACAAAACCCTCTCCGGCCTCTGCAACCTGCAATGACCGTGGCGGCGAAGTGACCTCATTCCCTGCCCCATCCCTGTCCCCATCCTCATCCCTATCCACACCCGCGTCACCATCCTCGTCCACATCCCAGTCCCTGTCCCCCTCCCCACGCCGGGGGCCGCTCCAGCCCCGGCTCGGGTACCACTTCCCCGCCGAGGATGGCGGCGAGGGCCTGCGGTGGCGGCCGCACGGGCAGGCTCGTCCTTGTCCCCTGTGCCCGCATTGTCCCCACCTCTTGTAGTCGGATGAGAAGATGCCGCCGCTGGCGGGGTCATGGCCGTACTCGGGCTCGCCCAGGCTGGAGGAGCCGCCCTTCTCCTCGCCGTAGGCCGGGCTGGCGGCCATGGCGGCGGGAGGGATGCGGGATGCGGGATGCGGGGGGGACGCGGGAACTGATGTCAGCGCGGGCGGGGACGGGCCCGGCCCGAGAACAGCGCCTGGGAACAGCGCCCGGCTGCATCGACCCCCGCCGCCATCGGGAGCGCGACCGCGGGGGAGCCCCGCCAGGGTCCCCGCACCTGCATCTGCGAGCGGGACACGGCTGATTTTAGGAGGAGCAGTGCTGGGGACATCGCTGTCATACGGGGGCTGTCACCGAGCTCGCAGCCGCACACGTACCAGTCCAGAATCATGAAAACCTATAGTTATAGCAACACACGTTATTGTGGATGATTATAATTAGACATATTTAAAATAGATTACATTGTAGTAAATAATGCTATATGTTCGGATATTATGTATTATTTCATGCTACTTTATTACATGTTATTATTATTTTATACATTATTATGTTATATGTAATACTGTGTGCAGTATTTGTAATATACATTTACCAGCGTATTACATATAATTTATATATTCTATTATATGCTGAATACTGTATACCATATATTGCATCTTATTACATTGCATTACATTACAGATTGCATTAATTATGCACTACTATATATTTGCCATATTCAATCATACTATATTATAGTAATAATACTTCTATTAAATATAGTCCATAAACCACTCTACATTCTGCAGTTTATATATTATATAATATACGCTACGCTATATATATGTTATACTATGTTGTATTATATTGCAGATTATATTAATTCTATTATATACTATGTAGTATATAGAATTTAATATAGTACATATTATCTAGTGTATGATAAAATTCAATATTTTATGATCTATATTCTACAAGATAGTATATGTGATGTATGACATCTGAATTATATATATTAGGTGTGGTATTAATTTATATTATTCTTATAGATATTATAGTTTATGTTTTATATTATTATCAATAACATGATATTAGATATATTCTCATATAATAATTATACTACAGATGTTAAATACAAATATTTTTATAGATAGGACTATACATATTAAAATGTTTCAGATATATATTTTATATAATATATTACTATAAATTATATCTATTATAAGATATATATCATCTATTATGAGATATTATTATAGTTGAGATTTTGTTTGTGTTTTTTGATTTTTCCAGGTACTTTATACTATTGGCAGCTATTCCCACTATTATTTCTCCAGGCAACTGAGCAGCCATGAAGCTGGAGCAGATGGGGCAGCACTCACCCCATCCCACAGGAGCGAGGCAGTGAGACAAAATGGCCATGGTTCAGGTAGCAGAATTGAAAAAACATCTAATTAATGGACAGCAATTAATCTTCAGCACAGTGACACACTCACTCCAGGCCTCCCAGGGACCCCAACCCTGCTTGGATCTAAGGCCTTCCCGTGGACCCTGCTGCTCTCTTGGAGACCCCAACCCTCAGGAGACACAGAGAAGAGCCAGGCTCCACCTTCTTTCTCCTCCATAAACACTGATAAAATCCCACTGGACATTTCCTTCTCCCTGCTGAACTGTCCCTGCTCTTCCAGCTTCCCTTCCTATAGGAAATGCTCCAGACCCTTGGTGGCCCTTTGTGGTGTCTCTCCAGGACTGGATGCAGAGTTGACCTCTGGGGTACAGCACCAGTCTCCAGCCAGACCTGATCTAGCCTTTTTTGGCCCGTTTTCAATCCAGCAGTCCAAGTAATATTCATTTTTATGCTCAGAATTCAATGCCAGCAGTGAAAGAGGCAGATGTTTGTCTCAGGAGGCCATGAGGAGCAAAGAGCAGCCTCACCTTTTAAGGTGTGTCAAGGTGGGACATCACTTGACAGCGGCTTCTGGGGTAAATGAGAAAACAACAAACCAAACAAGGTTGGCACAGGGTTTCCATGTAACTGTTTATTGCCAGGATTGACAGGAGGATTGACAAATCACTGGTGTAGTTCTGGTCCCCAGAGGAGAATGCTCCAGCCCCACTTGTTCCCCAGGAGCACCATCACCTCCCTCACTGCAGCGCTGGGGACACCTGGGAAAAAAGGTTTGGTGACACTTGGCTGGAACAGGTGCCAAGGTGTCCCAGGGTGGTGGCACCTGATCTGCTGGTGGCACCCACCATGGCACCAGCAAGGTGGCCCAGCCCCAGGAGGGCAAGGGCAAAGTGGATGCAGTTGCAGGTGATGATGTTGTACTCCACTGACTGGTCCATGGCTGCCTGGATCCGCCGCTGCAGGGCAGCCACGTCCAGCCCTCCCTTCCTCCGGAGCACCTTGGCCGGGCCCCGTGTCCGCAGGAGGTGGCTCTTGCCATGCTTAGCCACGATGCCTGATGGTGATGTCCCTGAGCTGCCTGCAGGGCGAAGTGGACTCCATACCCCGTGTCCCTTCCACGGAGATGTCCCCATGCCCTGACACCCCCTGGGGCTCACCTTCCAGGTGGATGATCTCCCCATCACCACAGTAGATGCCAGCGTGGGAACCCCACCAGCCAGGGCCCCCGGAGGCCAGCGGGAAGAGGAAGAGGTCCCCAGGCTGGGGCTCAGCCACCCCGTTGGGGACCATGCTGAAGTGTTGTCCCAGCAGCCCCTCGCAGAGGAAGAACCCTGCCGTGGTCACTGCCCCAGTCACTGCCTGGGGACCCAGCCGAGTTTCAGGGCCACAGGTGCCCTGGGGACACCGGCAGCATCACTGACCTGCTGGCTCATCCCACATTCTTGGTGGCTTAAGCACAGCTTGGGTCTTGGGTCTCCATGGATGGAAACCCTCTGGGAAGGGGCTGCCTCATCTAAGTGCTGAAGCACCCATGGGTGCCGAGGAAAAGGAAGGGTGTGCAGGATTTGGCCCAGTTGTGCCAGGGGTGAGACAGGCAGTGCAGGGCACAGGCGCAATGCCAGCACTTACCTGCCTGGAGCTGCTCACCTGGAGGGACAAACACCTTGCATCAGCCCCAGTGGCACCCATGTCATGGCTCAGTCCTGGCCTGGGCTGCTGCCACCCCCTGCCCAAGCATCTGGCTGGGATTCTCATGCCAGCACCCCCAAACCTGACGCACCCAGGAGCCCAGCCAGTGCCAGGGCTGGAGGAACAGCCAGTCCGGAGCTTGAAGGGTCTGAAGGAGGGAGCTCATCTGTGGGGAGAGGGGGCAGGGCAAGACGGGGACCTGTCCCCTTCTGACACACCCATCCTCTGCCACCACCCATCTCTGCCAGTGCACAGTCCAGCCCAGCCCAGCCTCCCAGGCCACATATCCCTTCCCCCTGCCCAGACCCAGCACCAGGCAAGGTCCCAGCTGTGGAGTCCAGGGGCACTGGGTATCATGGCAGATATCACAGGTATCACCTGGATGCAGGTGTCCTTCCTGCCGGCTCCCCCTTTACCTGAGCGAGGAGATTCATCTGCAAGGAGAAAACACAATGTCCCGAGAGCTGGGGATAGGTACCCCGTACCTCGGGGACTTCTCAGTTCCCACTGTTCTGGTGACATGACCCTGCTGAAACCCAAGCTGCAGCCTCAGTGCTCGTTCTGTGCCCTGCTGCCTCACCTTGGGGTCACCTCCAAGGTCTTCTCACTCCACTGTGTTCCCAAGCTGCCGCTGCTCCAAAGGTGGCTGCGGGGCAGGACGTCAGCCCTCCCCGGCGAGCACTGCGGTGGCTCTTGGCACCGGCACATGGCTCCACCAGTGCCTGGGAATGTGCCCGGACCGGCTGCACTGTGGCACTGTGCCCATTCTGTAGGGCCAGTCCCAGGGGGACAAACCCAACCTGGTGTGACATTTCATCCACAAACCTCTTGGGTGACCCCAAAGGAGTCGTGGAACAGCCCCGTGGCCACAATGTAACCAGTGACCACCAGGCTTATGACAAATCACTTCTTGGTGCCAAAATCCTCTGGCCCTGGGAGGCCGTCAGCCTGTACCCAGCCCCACATCCTAGGGATGGCCACCATGTCCTCAGCCCTGTTGCCCCAGAATGGTGCATGCCCGGGGTCAGCTCCAGAGTCACATTAAACTTTAATCCTGGTGCCAGGGGTCAGTGAAGGCTTTAGTAGGGCTCAGGTGGGTGACTGTCACCCTCTGTCATCGGGCAACCTCCAAAGAATCATTTATCAAGGAGCCTTCAATAAACAAGAGCTAATTACAGGTGAAACCCGAGCCTGGCCTGGACCCAGCTCAGTGCAGGCGGACACACATTAACCCTTCCCAGCCACCTCCAGTCCCACAGCCACACTCCCAGAACTTCATGTCATCTTCTTGTTGGTCTTGTCCCCTTCTGATCTCCACCATCACCTTGTCTCTGTTGTCTTGTCCAATATATCCATCACACCCTTCTCATTCACATCCTTCCCTCCCAGTCCCCATTATCTCATCTTGGTCCTTACCATCCCCTCATGATCTCCATCCACCCCTGTCACTGTTGGACATTAAATGATTCACACTGATGCAGCTCGAAGTGTGGTGAAGAAAGAAGTTTATTTGTTCTTTCAGTATTTATAGGTTTTTGACAATGACCAGGGATTGGATAGTCAGGTCACCACCTTCCCAACCACACTGGCTGTGAGACATATCCATCAAAAGGCATGTCTTTACTGGAATGTATAAACACCTATGTTTATAGTTTCTTGGGAAAATGGCTAGAAATTATGAAAACAATATCAAAAGGCCTGATTCTCAGGGAGACACACCCCTACTGCATCCCTTCATGATCTCCATCATCCCTTCCTGGTCACTGCTGTCACCTCCTGCTCTCTACATTTGTCTTTGTCTCCAGGTCACCATCAAGGCATTCCCATTGTCCCCTCCTGATCATCATTATTGCCTCCAAGTCCTCATCACCTCCTTGTTCCCATCAACTCCTCCATCACCTCTTGGTCTCCATCATCTCCCCTCCCTCCCCCACTGGCTCCTCTTCATCTCCATCATGGAGACCTGACTGGACCCCACTGTCTCCCCTTGGTCCCCAATATCTCCTCCTGATTCCCATCGTTGTTCCCATTGTCTCCTCCTTGTCCTCACTGCCATGTCCCATTCCCCACCACTCCGTGCCATCACCAACAGGAGAGGGACTGCCAAGGCAGTGGTGCTTCCCTGGCCAAGCTGTCCCTGGCCAGGGCGCATCCACCAGCTCCGCACAGCCAGTGGGATTAGGGTGGCTGGAGCCCTGGGGCTCCTGACCGTAGGTCCCAAGCCCATCGCCAGCATCTTTGGGTAATTAGTAAATTAGTAATTAAACGCTCTCTGCCTGCTGGGGGGAAGGGGGATAGATCCCAAGGTTTTAGGCTGGGTAATCCCATGGCATCTGCCCCAGCATCTGTCACCGAGCCGAGTCACGACCCTGCCTCGGGCTTTAACATTTGCTCCTTCACCCCCACCCACCACCCACAGCCCTTCGGCCGTGGCGTCAGGCCCGCTCATGTGACATCCAAAACAGGCTGGGTTGGGCTCCCACGGGTGCCCAGTTGGGTGCTCATGGAGTCCTCATCCCCGGGAAGAGGACAGGGTGCTGCTCCGTAGGGAGCCCACTTTAGTGACAGCACCCGGCTGGGTGTAATGGAGAAACGAGGTGGGAAACCATATTTTTGTAATTATTGGCTTTCCTGGGGGTGCTGATGATTGGCTAGCAGCAGATGGTTGGCCCAGCTAATCCCCCTCCCAAATCCCTGCTCCAGAGCTGGCTTTTACCCAGCGGCGAGGAGGGGACGGGCAAATTAGCCGACTCAGTTGTATCGCCACGCTGGCCGCTCCCCGCTGTCCCTGGTGCTGTGTCCCCGTGGGAGGGCTGGTCCTCTGTGATGCAGATGTTCCTGGCACCCCCGGGTCGGGCACTGGGGGGTGTTTCACCCATGGGTGAGAGGTGTGGGGGCACCCAAGGGCCGGGCAGGGAGGTGACAGCTTGCTCCCGCCGCATTAGCCCAGCGTCATAATTCTGCCGCAGGAGGAGGCGGCCGCTGCCGCAGATGGTGGCGGTCAGAGATCTGGGTCAGGACAGGGGGCTGAGGGTGGGACAGGGCACCATGGGGAAACGGAGGGTCCCAGGGTGGGAGGGGGCTGCAGGCAGGGAGTATGGAGCCGTGGGGAAGGCAGGGATGGGGTCATGGTGCAGACAGGAAGGATGGTGCAGCCGCATAGAGTCAAGAAGGCTGATGGAATACTGCTGCTCATGGGAACGTGGAGCCATGGTGCAGGCAAGGCTGAGTCACATGGCAGACACTTAAAATGGAGAAACGCTTCAGGCAAAAGGGATGGAAGCAGGTTGTAGGCAGGAGGATGGAGCCATGCCGCAGGCAGGGGGATGCAGGAGTGCTTCAGGCAGCGGGGATGGAGCCGCAAGTCAGTCAGGGATGCTGGAGGGATGACCCCCAGCCCCCGGATCCGCTGGAGTCACTGCTGCCAGCCCTCAGCAGGGACGTGCTGCCAGTGCTTGTCCTCTGGGACACCTTCAGGGCATCAACACCCCTGAGCCCCTCTGGAAGGGGCACAGCAGGCCGGGAACCCCTGTCCTCAGCCTGGCCCATCGCTGGGGACAAGGCGGGTCCGTGACGGTGGCCACCCGCCGCCCCCCTGAGCGGGGCGGGATGGGGTTTTAGCGGCTAAAGCCCACAAATCCCAAATTGTGCTGCCCTGTCACCGCGAGGGTTTAGCGGTGGTTGCGTAACCCCGGGGGCCACCTGGCCCCCACCTTCTGCGGTGTCAGCAGCCCCAACATCCATGGAGGCCCCGGTCCCCCGAGAGGGGATGCTGAGGCACAGCGGGGCCCCTACCGAACATCCCCCCTCCCTCGCCATCAGGGCCGATAATTAATTACTTGGGGGCAGGGAAATTACCCCCCTTAATTACCACTTTTCGTTATTCCCCTCTAACCGCCTTAGTGAAGGGCTTATGCGCTTACAGGACCCGGTGGGTCCCAAGGGAAGGACGACACATATGGGGGGTCCCCAGCCCAAGCCCCATCTCCCACCTCCGCCGCAATCTCGGGCTCGCAGTGCTGGGGGGGCACGGACAGGGTGACACCTCCAGCGGCGGCGCGCGGGGGGGTGGCTTGGGTGTCGCGGGGTTTAGGGTTACAGGGCTGGGGCTCAGCACCTTTTTAATTCTTCATCGCGTGGCTGATTGATCCCCCCCGCTCCGCGCAGACACTAAAGATTAAGAGGGTGACAAAGAGGCGGCTGCTTACACAGCGCCCGCCGCTAAGCCGCCTTGAAGAGAGCAAGGCAAGAGCCCCGCTGGCCGCAGAGCTGCCGGAGCACCCTGCGCCTGGCCAGACCCTCCGCGGGGATCCAGAGGGACGGGACAGGGATAGGTCGGGAACGCCGGGTGCGGGATGGCTGCGTCCCCGGCGGGGTCGGTGGTGAGCGCCGGGCTGGATGAGAGTGCCACGGGTAAGAGGTGGTTCCACTGGACCGGGTGCGACACGGAGGGACGTGGGTTTTTCTCTGGGATGGCTGGGCCCCCACTCTGGTCATTGCCCAAGATGCCTGGGGGTCCTCTTCATGGTTCTCCTCTTGGATACTTGGAATCCCCATAGTGGTCAACCACCGACATACTTGGGGTCCTCCATTGCAGTTTTTCTCTGAGATGCCTGGGACCATCGCAGCTTTCTTCTGGATGCCTTTGGACCCCATCGTGGTCCTTCTCTGAGATATCTTGGGAGTCCCTATTATGGTTCATCTCCAAGACACCCAGTGCCCCCATCATCATTGTTTGGGATGTTTGTGTTCTTTGTTGCCACCCTCCTACAGAATGTCTGGGCTTCTCCTCATGGTCCTTATCCTGGGTGCCCAGGGTCCCCATCATGGTCCCCTAGGATGCCTGGGGTCTTCAGCTGTCCTTCTTTTCCAAGATGCTGAGTCCCATCATGGTCCTTCCCTAGGCCAGGATGCCTGCAGAGCGCGATCCTCTCCATGGTATCCACGGTCCTCATTTGTACTCCTTCTCCAGGATTCCTGAGGTCCCCAGTCAAAACCCTCTCCTGGATACCCTTGGTCCCTGGCCCTTCACCAGGATCCCCACAGTTCCCTCTTATGGCTCTTGCCTGGGGTGCCCCATGTCCCCAGAGCTGTCCCTTCTCCAGGACACGTCCCATCCCTGATTGCAGCTCTTCTCTGGGATGCTCAGTCCCCTTCCTGGGATGCCTGGTGTCCCCTTCCCTAAGAACACCATTTTTTTTTAATTTACCTTTATTATTTTTCAAAATTCCTGTGAGAGCCCATCCTGCATCACTCTGTGTGCTGGCTTGTGGGAAGATGGTGAACCCTACGTGGAGTCCCCGAGGTGTCCCCATTCATGTCCCTGGGCCGAACCAGCAGAGACAGGAGCCACCCCATCTCCAGGATGCGGGGGAGCAGCAGGGACTGGTGGGTCATGCGAGGGACATCGGGATGCCCGGAGTCAACCCAGATA